CTAATCAACATCCTTATATACCATCTTACACAGCTAGCTTATAATTACATTAACATATGCATAATTCAACATTTTCATTGGTTACAAGATATAATTCCAATTCCCTCTTTTCCTGATTATGTTACACTTCTACTTGTCATGCGTGAACAATTTACGCACCTTGGTTTTTCTTACTTTATTCCCAGTTCATACCATCAATCTTATCTCTTTGGCTCTGAAACAGTCTGCCTGTCTTCAAGATCGAAAAACAACATTCCTTGCTATCCTTTCCAGTGAAGCCGAAACTAGAAGCCTTTTACAATTGCTTTGCAAATGCACAGTTTTAAACATAGAATATGAGAGCCCCAAGGGTCATCCAATCCAGCCCCGCATTAGCCATGAGCTTTGTAGTTTCTTTTACATTATTTCATCCCCTACACCGGGTCAAAAAATTGCTATCAAATGCTATTCCCACTCCTTATTTTTTTTTTTTTTGCAGGTGAGACTATTAATTTTGGGGGGGAGCAGGTGCAGTAAGGTGTATGTACGTCCTGTATATCTATCCCACCCTAATATTTATAGAATCTTAGAATCATAGAACTGGAAGGGACCACAAGGGCCATTCTAGGCCAGCCCTGTGCCACTCAGGAGAACACTCCTAAAACATGCCTGAAAGATGCCCATCCAACCTCTTTGGAAAGACCTCCGAAGATGGAGAGTCCATCTCTTGCCCAAGGCAGTCCATCCCACTGTCAAACAGCTCTTACTGGTTGCTTACTGGGACAGATTGGTTACTGGATGTCCCAGGAACCAATTGGTTACTGGGACATCCAGGAGTGACCATATCACTCCAATGTTAAAATCGCTCCACTGACTACCAGTTAGTTTCTGGGCAAAGTACAAAGTGTTGGCTATTACCTTTAAAGCCCTGCAAAGTGTTGGTTATTGCTTTTAAACCTATAGGATCACCCCCTCCTTTCATAAAGTCCACCCCATTCTTTCAGGGAGCTGTCCAGATGCGCTGGACAACAACTCCTGGTACTTCCAGGAGTGAGGATGGTGGGCTTGTTGTGCAACACCGGGGAGTAATAAGTCTTCCTATGCCTGGGTTCCTTCTCTCGGCAGAGGAAGCAAGAGAAAACGAAGCACCTCTTTGGGACGGGGCTTGCAGGAGGTCCTCTTCTACAGTTCTTTCTTCTTC